TGAAAGGAGACAACTTTCATGCACTCAAATGAAAATAAAATCACTACACCGGAGATAATTTTTAGTTTTCCACTTTCAATAAATGGAGTTCTTTTTTTATCACTCGAATAAACCGTACGCGTTGAAATCTAATACGAGACTGATGGCCGATTGGTTTGATTGTAATGACTAATTAGTTACGTCATCTTTTCATCCGGTTGATTCCCAAACTAGTATGACTAATTTCGATATCGATAGGAGGTATACAGTGTGGGGTGAAAAGAATTTCAATATACATTGTCACCGTTGAAGTCCGCATCATATAGAATTTGTTACCTAAACTGCTCGACATTGATAACGTCGTGGTTCAAAATATAGCCTGAATTCAAAGTAGAATAACTCACGAATTTCCTTACCAATTTGAAATCGGTTTCCACCGATTATTAGCCTACTCTCTTGACAGTTTATTGTGGCAATATGAAACCTCTGTAATTCCAGATAACATTGCTACAGGGTGATAATTGAATGGGTGTAAAATTGCATCCTGGTCGTCACCTTACCGTTGGAACAGATAATTTTTTAATTTTTTTCCCACCTGTATCCTCTTGATTGATGCTTTCTCTCGAAACGTTTTCGGAATTTCCGAATTCAGAGTTTTGATGAGCGTGTTATAGTTATTCATTCAAAATGATGCATTTTTTCGGCAATTAATTGAATGAAATTGGAAGTTGGAATTCTTTTTCGACGAATCAACCTTGAATGTTTAGTCGACGGATATGTGATCGTGTTCGAACACAGAAAATTTTGAAGTAGTCTATACGAAGTGATACAAGTAGATGAAACGTAATTTTCTTTGTGTTACTAGTGAAATAATGGAGTGTTACTTCGTCATGAGGATATCTGGTGTCTGACCTCGAAATGGTTTCGTAATTTCTCGGATCGAAGGTCATATGAAGGTACGCATTTTAAATCAATATGGTGCATTTTCATTAAGATACATTATAGAATTCAAAAAATTACGATTGTAGTTCCAGGATATGAAATTTTTATTCTTGACCATGGATATACAAGGTGCGATAAAAAATATGTCTAGATTGTCCCGGGATGAAGAAGAATATGTTTAAACGTGATGAAAATCGCCATATTCCGAAAAAGAAATATAGTTCGGTCATTGTCGAAAATTGTGAAATGTATAAATACAGTAACTCTCCATGAGATTTATACGAGGAAATATAAAAAAGACTGCAGAATTGCCATATATTCGTGCATACTTGTTACCATTGCATTACCTCATAGTAATTCAGTGTGAAGTTGAATGGAGATAGAATTACTCTTTTTCACAGGGTGATTCATAAGGAATTTATAATATCTCACCTGCTGCTATAGATTTGACGAATTCTGTTGAAAAAAAAAAATAGCTTGCCCAACTTATACTTACAATTATTGCTATTTTGATTTTCTCACGTCAAAAAAATCCTAATTGCATATTGGATTGACTTTCATTCCAATATGTGAAGTCTCTTTCATATTACCTCGTATAAGCCTCATGAGGACTTACTGTATTTATCTTCATCAGTATGAAAAACATTTTATCGAATATATGGCAATTCTGCAATTTTCGACAATGACCGACACTATATTTCTTTTTCGGAATATAGCGATATGGCAATTCTGCAATTTTCGACAATGACCGACACTATATTTCTTTTTCGGAATATAGCAATTTTCATCACGTTCAAACATATTCTTCTTCATCCCGGGACAATCTGGACATATTTTTTATAGCACCTTTGTATATCCATCGTCAAGAATAATAATAAATTTCATACTTCTGGAACGACAATCGTAATTTTTTGAATTTTATAATGTATCCAAATGAAAATGCATCATATAGATTAAAAATGCGTACCTTCATTATATGACCATCGATCCAAGAAATTACAAAACCAATTCGAGGTCAGACACCAGATATCCTCATGACGAAGTAACACTCCATTATATCACTAGTAACACAGAGAAAATTATGTTTCATCTACTGAAGACTACGTTATTCTCCATTCCATCATGAAGTATTTCTTGTATCACTTTGTATAGACTACTTCAGAATTGTCTGTGTTTGAACACGATCACATATCCGTCGACTAAACATACAAGGTTGATTCTTCGAAAAAGAATTCCAACTTCCAATTTCATTAATCGTGGAAAAATGCATCATTATGAATGAATATTTATAACACGCTTATCAAAGCTCTGAATTCGAAAATTCCGAGAACGAGAGAAAGCATCAATCAAGAGGATACGGATGAGAAAAAAATGAAAAAAAATTATCTGTTCACACGGTAAGGTGACGACCACGATGCAATTTTACACCCATTCAATTATCACCCTGTAGCAATGTTATCTGATATTACAGAAGTTTCATATTGCCACAACATACTGTCAAGAGATTAGGCTAATTATCGGTGAAAACCGATTTCAAATTGGTAAGGAAATTCGTGAGTTATTCTACTTTGAATTCAGGCTATATTTTTGACCACGACGTTATAAATTATGAGCAGTTTATTTAGTTTGTGCAAATTAGGATTTCATGAACTGTTCTTATTTTCGATATAGTACAAAATGAAGTTGATGATTTTTGCAAATCAATAACTGTCAAATTAGATATTGATAATTAGACATTTTCTGTCAGAAAATCACAAAGTCAAAAAATCAATTTTTCGAACAAAAAAGATTTTGAAGTGACATGGATTCATTATTAGTAGAAGGAAAATAACTATTGAAAATTCCTGATACATGTCGATCATCGGTTTAAATTTTCATAAATTATCGTATTTTTGTTCACCTGTACAAATTTTGAGTAACTTTTGATACTTTTTTGTAATCCGAAAATCCAAAAATAAAAAAAAGAATTTCCAATAAAAAAAGTTACTCATAAAGTCATCACACGAAGTTAGTTTACCATGTATATTAGATTATTATTTGAAAAAATGGTAAATTAAAATCAGAATTAATTTAGAAAATTTCGGTAGTACTGATAGTAGAAATCGGATTTTACTTTATTCAATTTAATGTTTAACCGTTTTATACGAAATTTCATAAGCTCTTTACAGGGTTTTCAAATATAAGTCGGCACTATTGCGAACTTGGTTATTATTGAAGCTATCAAGTCAGGTAAATGGACAAAGTATTTTGCCAAAAATTAAACAGGAATCTAACATAGAGTTCACGAGTTACGTAAAAAAGTTCAATGTCTTTAAATGGGACACCCAGTATACAATATTCTCAATCAATAGGAAATTCGATTGCGAATTATGTATTGATTTCAAAGCAAGTTCAGTATCCTCCAGACTATTGAGATGCGATCGAAGACCTTTTGCAAATAATTTGTCCTATAGTCTTCACAAAATGGAAAAAAAAATTTGCACCTTGTTCTATTGATTTCTATTCAATCACTCCGTATATGAATAGAAAGAAAATAATAAAAAAATCACTCACCATATCTAAAAAGAAGAACAACAACAACAATACAAAACATCCCAGTCTTTTTATTGCTGGAAAATTCCACCAGAACTCACTCACACACACACACACACAAACGTTTCACTATAATCACTCAATGACACCATACATTTCGATTCCCACGTGTAAACAGTATGTTATTTTTCAAATCAATCAGATCGACTGCACGCGATGAAATCTAATACAATACTGCGTCGCCACCGGTATCGCGGTATCGGATGCATGATTAACCTCCATAGTGATTCATCAGTTACGTCATCATTCTACCCGAATAATTCTCGAACAGGAATTGTATTTCTGACTGATCACATCAAAAATAATGTATACGAGGTGTGGTTTAGAATGAAATTCAATATACAGTGTCATCATTAAAGTCCGTATCATGAGAATATGTTTATTCACGCAAATTTGATGTTCATGAATTGTTTTGTCTCTGAAAATGATTCGAAATTTCGTCAATCTCGAAGTATGGAAAAATAACAAATAAAGTGGGTTGTTTCACAAAATTTTATATCCACTTAAAAAATTTCAACAATTTAAATTTTTTTCCTCAATTTTCGGGCCATTATTGTGATTTTTAAAAATTCGAAAAGGTCATTCAAAATGTGGAATACTCATCAGCAATAACAAATCCATTGAATATACAAATGTAACATATCATTTGAGGATAAAATTGATTCCTATTGCTGGTATTATATATAAAATTCGAAATGTCATTCATGTTAGATACCTAAACAGTATTTATTTCTGTCTTTTTCATTCAAATTTACTATATCTTATACCTATCTATTTGGGGAAGTACAAATATTTCACGTTTGAAGCCACTCATGAAATTACAAAATAAAACAAAGTGCATTTATAATTTACCTAATTTAGAATCAACTGTGAATCTATACAAACCTAAAGACTTTCTGAATTTAGTTTCATTATATAAACTCTAAATTTGTCGTTTTATTCGTTTTGTCAGAAAGGAATTGAAAATATCAAATTTGAATTTTAATGAAGTTAATACGAAGTTAATACGGCATGAAATTATTGTTATGCAGTAAACTAAACGGGGTGTCGATAGTGTGCGACTACTGGATCTGCATGATACAAGGAATCTGTAAGCCTTCTACTGTAGCAAGTCACGTCACGTCGAATATCATATTTTATTGGGTTTTAATGCTAAGGAATGTGCCATCTGACGGCATATATCACGTGATCATCAAGTGTGATGATTTGGTAGTAGTATTGAAGATAATAATTATTGTTCATTCAATTGTGTGACGGATTTTTATATGATTATTTTTTTATACAACCGTATATGGTAGAAACATATCTTCCGAGTCGTCCTGGCAAAATTATTATTTTGACATATCACAGTTGGCGTCAAAAATATCATATTTTTGACAGAATGACAACGCGGGAAAATGAAAGTGGAATTACTCGCCTTGTCGAAACCAGGAAAGTCGATTTTGACGGGTTCGTCAGACAGTCTAGATATTTAGCCGTCATTGCTCTCGAAAACACATCTCTATCTCGACATCTATCAACTGACGTAATTGACATTTGTGACTTCTACCAAGTTTCCGCAGCGCAATCGAGTTTCCTGTTTCTCTTCAATAGAAACTAAAATGGTAGGTTGCTCGTTTTCTTATTTTTTTATTAATTTATATTATTTCTCGTTATTTCTTTCACGTACTTCAAATTGTATTTCTTACTTCTTGTCATCCTCTATGTTATCTATTCTGATGATTATAATCACCTATGAATTTTGGGAGATATTACTGAAAATATGATACACATGTGAACATGTGCAGCAGCTGTGATGTAAAAAAAAATCAAGACGATCTTCGTGGTTGTTCAAACTGATTTAATGAGTCTGAGTGTTTGAATGTTGTTCAATAATACGATCTCACAATGTTTTCTTATTACTCTATGATTGGACGTTATTTTAGCCTCCCAAGAAGGATGCAAAAGCTTCTGCCAAGCAACCTCAAAAAACCCAAAAGAAGAAGGAAGGATCAGGCGGTGGCAAAGCCAAAAAGAAGGTGCCCAAATATACATTTACATACTATCAGATTTCATATTTTTTCCTGCATTTTTTAGAAGTGGTCCAAAGGAAAAGTGCGCGACAAATTGAACAACCAGGTGCTCTTTGACAAATCAACTTATGAGAAACTCTACAAAGAAGTTCCCTCCTACAAATTGATTACCCCATCAGTGGTATCTGAGCGTCTTAAGGTTCGTGGATCTCTGGCAAGGAGGGCTCTTATTGAACTTCAACAAAAAGGTAGGAATCTTTAATTTAGATTTTTGCTTCTTGTATAGTATCTTCAGGTAATTAGGTATGAGACATGCATAAAACAAATCTTACAATTATTGTGGTAATCATCAAACTTTATAGATATTTCATTCACATTACCCATCATGGTTAATCCCATTTCATTGTGTTTAAACCTGACATCATTTCCGGGTACACCTCCCTTACCTGCCCTTGGGTTTACCAGCTCCATAGTTAGTAAAGGTGGTTAAAGGTAACTTGGATATTTGTTTACAATTGATACATTTGAAAAATGGAGGATATGATGGGAACATTCAAATGAATGGAGTGGATGTTGTAAACTGTAGAAGTAGGTGAAGTGAAAGAAATAAGAATTCAAAAATAGTTAATGTTGAAGAATGAAGTAGTTGCCTAGCACCACCTTCACCTAAATACTCTAACCAGGTTCAATGGGGGAATGTGAATGAAATATCCCTCTTATTCAACCTGAATAGATTCAATATACCTACTTGGTATGAGTATAAAAGGATATGTTCAGAAATAGAGTTGATCACCCATGAAAATTTTGATATGTGTGTACCCTGATAAATACCTTCATGATGATATTTTCTGCTTGATTTACAGTGAAAGCAAAACTTTAACTGATTTAATGAGTCTGATTCTGTTTCATCTCATTATTTGAGAAAATATTATCATTCCAATATATTGACCACTTTTTTTTTTTTTTTTTTCATTTCAAGGATTAATCAAACAAGTTGTACAGCACAGGGCACAACTTATTTACACTAGGACCACAAAGGGTGATGATCCAGTTGCATAAGTTTAAGATAGAATGTATCTTTTAATAAAATGAAATAAAAATAAATAAAAAGAACAAAAAAAAGAGTTCAAAACTTAATTTCATGAAATTATTTTCCTACATTCCTATGACATTGATTCCTAAATTTGTACAGATCAGCTGCATGAATCATATGTCCAAATATCACAACCCTCTCTAATGACAAGTAGAATGGGATTGATTAAAAAAATTTTGTGAGTGAAAAACATTTTATTAGTTTTTGAATATATCCACGGTAATTGACATAAAATGTGGTTCTTTGACAATATGCAGGAGGGATATAATAACTAGCGTCTGGAGAAAGGAGAAGAAAATAAACAACATAGTGGTAGAACCCCGCCAAGCACGGGCAAAGATCACCTGTGCCCATCACCTAGTGACGCGCGGCTGATTATACATATATTATTATTATCAAGTCTTTGAATCCAAGACACTGATGACACAAAACTGACACTTTGAATACTGATATGATGATTTGGAGATAGGCCATAAAGAATAAAATTAGGATATATACAGGGTGTTCCTTAATAAAATGCTAATATTCAAGGGGTCGATTCTTCACCCAATTCAAGAATCAAACTTCATATGAACATATGTCTAAACGTCCTACCTTCTGATATACAGGGTGTCAATGTTGAAAATAGGCATAGATTAATTTTGAGAATCTTCAAGTGGCTTATTGAAGTGATGATCTTCTGGGAAGTATTGACCACACCAAATTTCAAAATGAGGTCTCAATAAGTAGGCGAGATATTTCAATTGGTGGAGCAAAATTATTGAACTTTGACCCCCTGTAGCTCCGCTTCTGGATCGGACTAATGTTTATATGAACTTGTCCGATTGAAATGATGAGATCTATCTCCCATTGCAGTTTGTGCCTCAGGACCTGAATCACCCTGTATAATAAACTGCAGCTGTTTTTTTTTTAAATGAAGGCAAACTATATGGAAGCAATGAGTAGGGAAAAACTGAGGAAATTCAAAGAGCAATAAGGCCGATGAACTAATATTCAAAATTGATCCTCCACTTGTAAAAGCACGCCAGAGAATTTCAGAGGAAAACCCCTTCAATGAGAAAATATACCGTTCGACTTTTGATTCTCTTTTTTGTGACAAAAAAGGATTATGTAAGCAAGCCACTATACCGCGTCATAATGAAAAACTGTGTCCCCATTTTTATTCAGTAGCTTTGAAATGGTGAATCTGAAATAACTATACACAAATGGTATTCTATCATGTTTTGGTATTCCAATAATGGGAAATTATCTGTACAATGATGTGCTACATATTTATCTTTGTTTTGTTAGAATGTCTAATATCACAATATTTGAATAAATTGGGGGCAACCCTTTTCATCTTCAAAAAAAAAAAAAAAAAAATTTTATCCATCCTGTATAGCTTTTTGTGATGGCAAAATTCAGTCTGCTATGTGACTGAATCAGTATACAAATTTCAAAATGTTACATAGTGGTTATCCAGTAATGGATGTATAAACAATAATTTTCCCGTAACGGTGCCACTGGTAGAGAAAATAAAAATTTTCGTACATCAGAAAATGCACCTTTTGATGCATAAAAGACGTGTACCAAATTTCATATGGATATATACAATATTGTCTTAGATATCATCAAAAAACTGAATATTTTTCAAAACTTCATCACCCTGTATCTCAAAAGTTAAGGCTTTTATGATATACGTTCCCTCAAATATTAGCATATCTTTAGGGAACACCCTGTATAGGTATTCATAAAATACAAAATGTCACTAAAGGGTATTTTCTGGGCAATTTCAGCAGCTAAGGCTTGACGTTGCTTCTCATTTCTGGTTAAGTGGCATAGTTCCTTCTCATGTCTAACATGTTATGTTAATACATAAACAATGTATAATATCCTTAGCCACCTTAATGGAAGCCTCGATGGAAGCAGGACGATTTGAATTGATTTTATTACTGCCCTGTATTTCAACTTTCCCCTTTCCAGTGCTCTTTGACTATCTCTAATCTGGACGAGATGAGTTCTATCTTTCAGTTCTATGTAGTTCTTCCATTTGATAAATTGTTCATAAGATGAAATTTCAAGATATTCCTTAACCAACGTTAATTCATGCAAATTCTCTAAATGATTCTCGAATTGATCACTGCAATCAGATGATGATTTCACCGCACTATTTGCATAAAATGTTTCTCAATGTTAAACTTCCATCCGCATCTATCACAGGAAAACTTATACACTTTTCCACTTTTTTTAGATGGGGCTATATTAGTTGGATATGAGACTTCAAACAATGCCTTCTGAGACTTTGAAAAGAGCTGAACGTTTTTATGGTACATTCTGCACAACAGTTTGATTCCATTTTTATTTTTATATGTGTGAAACCCACGTAGACCAAACTATAACTATAAATGAGTAGATATTCTGAAAACATATACTCCTTTCCTTGATACATAATTCGGCGCCAATTAAGGGTATTGGCTATTTACCTACAAATTATAATATATTATTGTTTTGCTCCAACAGCTCCAACGTTCGTCCCGCACGTCGCTAGGAGGTGATCTATCTGTGCCCGCCATAAACAAACAAACTACACTCTCCCGCTTGGCGCGGTGCTCCCACTATGTTGTTTATTTTTTTCCTCCTTCCTCTAGGCCCTAGTTATTTTCAGTAGTTGATAGTTATAAACAAAGAGGTACCTACCTATCTAGAACATTTTAACAAGTTTATTGAAATCACAAATTAGCTTCTATATCTTTGACAAATAACAAATAATATTTATTTCTTTTTAGTTCTTTGCTTCTCAGCATGTATCACTACTTCATCATCCACATGTAGCCCTTTCCTTCTTCTTGCATCTTTCATCAACTTATTTGCTCTCAGTGCAGACTCCACATTAATACCTTCTTCATCCTCATCGTCGTCCTCTACTGGCTGGTAAAAAGGGTCCCCATCAATTACCTCATAGTGGCTGAACCTCAGAGTGGGGTTAGCTTGGCCGGAAGTGGTCTTACGAATCTCATTTGCAAAACCCTCACTTGCAATAACTGGAATCTGAGCTTTGACAAGGAAGATTTTTTCTTGTTCATCCATACATACATCTTCAATTATTTTGCCATGCCTTTTGTTCACTACTGTGTACACTTTTCCTAATATACTTGTATTGACTTGAATTTCTGTAACATATATAGGTTCCATCAGACGCTGGTTCTGTTTTTCAAGGGATTTTTTCAGTGTTTCTCGTATATTTGACTCAAGAGCTGATGTTGTTTGTGGAGTAAGGTCCTCTCGATTTACATCCTTGGTGATATCAAATTTGTTGATTATAAAGGCACAATTGGTTAGGGGTTCTTCACATAGTGGGCCAGCTTTGCATAAGGTATTGAAAGCTTTTATGATACAGTGATCATATAATGCTCTTTTATCACAGCTACTTAGTTCCATAAAAATACTATGAGGATAATCACTTGCATTGTTTATCAGTACATTCAAGCAATTACTAGATTTACCAATACTCCACAATTTATTCTGCAAATCTTTCCAGCAAGGTACTGAAGAAGCAAATGTGGATTTCAACTGTTCCTTAATGTGAGTCAAAGCTTTTTTTGTGGTATCTCTCATGAAAGTCTTCTCTATTTCTATATTTTCTTCAGAGTTCCTACCAAACTGTTGTTTAGCTACATCAATGAAGCTCTTATGCTGATGTTCCTCAACCATTTTCAAAAATTCATAGTTATTCTGGATTACCTCTCTGATTGCATCAGGCAAAGGTTTTGCTATTACACTCATTGAAAAATGTTCTGAATCTAATGAAACATAATTACTAGTATCTTTCACAAAATTGTAATCATCATTTTGGTTTACTACTATAGTTTCTCTCAGGGAGACCATTGGACTTGATACATTGATGTCTATCTTAGCAAATTTTGTTTTCAAGTCTTCTATACACTTTCCCAGATGAACATCACCAGCAGTAAGCAGTACAAGTTCTCCAGTTTCTTGCATTACAACTTCTACACAAGAATCACTATGCATGAGATACTTCAATCCTTGTCGCAGAATTGGCAAATCTTTGAGGTTTTCTGGTTCTACTGCATGGCGGACTACTGGATCTATACGGGGGTGTTCAGCAAGTGGTACAATATCAAGAATGGTAGACAAGGTAGCTGTACGAAGTATGTGAGATTCTATGCCACCAATTCCACAGAAGTTACCAGCAGGAATAGCATCTACCAACAATAATTCACGTCCAAACAGCATGTATAGCTCTTTTATTGTTGTTTTTTGTAGATTACCATTGCTGTTAAGAAAATCTTCAGGGTTCTCAGATATTTTATTTTCATCTGGCAAATATGAACCAGTCAAGACAAAAATTTCTTGTCCAACTCTGAGAATGCCTGTGAAAACTCTAGCTAATGCTATGACTTTGATATCATCATCTACAGTTATTACAGGATTATCTGTGTTTTCTTCTTTTGGCTTCTCTTTAATGCAAATCTCTGATAGTTTCTGATTCTCACTGATTTCAGTTCTAGGTTTAGGTACAAATATTTTTGGTTTATTTTGTGAAAGATTCTTTTTGTTCACACAAAACATTTTGGATACATAGACTATAGTTGGTGTTGCAGATTCTGTTGAAATACTCTCAAAAAATGGAAGCATATTCTCAACACATTTATTCAAATACTGATCTTCACAGAATCTGTTTACTCTTAGCAAATACTCCACCTTTGTTTTCTTCATTTTGGATGGAGATGGAATTTTTTTAAGGCATTGTAGGAGAATTGTTGAGGCTAATGGTCTCCATGCTTGTAAAACTGCACGAACCTGAACTTTTGGATCATTATGTGTCATGTCTCTGGTAATGTTTGTAATGTTGAGTTTTTCTAGTATGGAAGAAGTTTTATTTCTTTCCATTCTAATAACAAATGTTTCATAAATATGAACTATGGTCTTTAGGCATAATTGCACAAAGAGATTATTTTTCTTTTTGTCAATAGCTCCAGTTTTTATTTCTTTCTTTGAGTCAATAAAGCAGTCGAAATTCCACATTTTTTCATTCAAAGATTCTACAGTTTCATTCTTTACTATATTCACAAACATACCTGCCATTTGTTTTGTGGTGAAACCCCAGCCATCAACAGCACTAGCAAAAATCACATTTCCCGTATTTGGGCAGAATAAAAGTCCTGTATCTTCAACATCAACATCAGTGTCTGTAAATTCATATTGATAAAGCTCAGCTACAATTGCATTACAGCCTTCTATAATTCTCAATATACACTGGAATATTTCATCTATATTTTTTTGCAATTCAACTATGAGTCTGTCAAATTTGTTCAGAACCAGAATCATCTGAGTATGTTCTTCAAATGCATTCTTTATGGATTCCCTTGTCTGAACACATACACCCTCCACAAGGTCCACC